TGAAGAACCATCTTCCCCAAGTCAGAATTCAGGCTCCTTTTATACAAAAGGGCAGAGAGTACACTTAGTTGTTGCAAACTTCTTGGTATAGGAATTCTCTGTTCTTGGAATCCTTTGTTTTTGCAGCTGTTTACGTGTTTCAGATCATGGTGTCCCTGTAAACCTCCAACAAAACAAATGTTCTCTTCTCTTCTGCAACTTGTCATCTTTATACGAATGGAAAAGTGTTAATTTCTTAAGGTTAGAACCTTGAGAATAGGCTATCCTGTATACTTCAGGCTATAGGCAACATTCTTTTACAAAAGGTGTAGAACCAGCAAGACTAAGCTTAGGAAACAGAGCACAGGGTTATAGTCAAAGGAACAGAACTAATATGGAGTCAGATTTGTTCTTTTCTATTACAATAGTGATGTTTGGATTGGGCAGTTGTGTCCTACTAAAAAATTAGTCTACGTAGACAATGTGAATACAGTCGAATGTCTTTGGGTATATTTTGTAAGATACAAAAAATATTCAAGCAAGAGAACTTAGCCAAAATGTTTTTAAGATGCAAAAAAAATACTGAAGCAGAGAATTTGGCCAAAATGTTTCTATACCTACATTTCTCCATTCATGGGCAAAGACTTTCAGAATGTTAGCCTGTTATCTGGCCCTTGTTTCCAGTGTAGTAGGGGTAAATCCTGGCAGCCATGTTTTCCCCATGTAACCCCACCTCCTTGATCATAATTGTGGCCTTGAAGTAGACACCTGACCAAAGCTGAGCCAATCATAGCCTTCAATCCAATTTAATTGGACCTCAAAGATGCCAGAGGTTTCAACTAGGCCATCAAACCAGAGGAGAGGTGAGAGGCAGCCCTGCTTTGTTACCTGCTCAACCAATAGGAGGGAAGCTGGTTTGCAGGGAGAGAGTGAGAGAGAAAGGTTTTTTTTGTTTGTTTTGTTTTGTTTTTATTGGCTCTAGAACGAACTACAGCAAATCTGTCCAGAAAGTGAGCCTTCCTAAATTATATATTATTAGGTAACATAGATAAATCTCACAAGCATTATGCTATGTGAAAGAAGCCAGGTACAAAAGACCACAGATTGTATGTGTCCATTTATATAAAATTCTAGGAAAGACAAAACTATAGTTACAGAAGGCATTTCAGTGGAGAGATGGGAGGGAATTGATTACAAAGAGGCTCAAGAGAACTTTTGAAGGATGGAGCTGTTCTTTGTTTTGATTATAGTGGTAGATACATGGGTATAGACATTTGTCAAAACTCATCAAATTGCACATTCAAATTGGTGAATCTTATTTTATGTGAATTAATCTTCAATAAAGCTGATGGAAAAAAAAGTAAATAGGAGTTAGTAGCCTTGCCGGTTGATTCTAGTTTGTCTAACTTGCCTTAGGCCCAGAAGAACCCAAGGACTGATTTGCATTGATTAGAATAACTCATCAGAGAAAGATGCTATATAGATTTCCTTGGTATCTGATGTTGACATAGAATATAAATTATTTCTCCTTTGAAGTCCTACTTGGAAGACACCATACTTAGAAAGTTGTTAAGATTTCCATCATTGAAAGTACTCCTAAGAGTCACACTTCAAGAATGATGCCATTAAACTTTTCGTTTTGATTTCTCAAGATTCATCAGCCTTCCTTGAAAAGTAGCATAGAAATGACAGCTTTCGTTTATTGAGTGATAACAGTAATGTAGAACCAGACATTTACTTACTGCTTCACTTTCATTATTTCATTTCATCTGCACAGTAATTCTGCAAATGAGGTACTGCTGTCCTCCCAAGTTATAGAGGAAAGGGCTGAAATTTAGAGGCTAGACAATTTTTTCAGTTGATAGCCAGTGCTTGAATTTGGGATGGTTTAGTGCCAAAGCCAAAGCCATTCAACTACTCTCTTGACTGCGTCATCTGCTCCAAGCTGCTCCTGTAGCATCTTGCTCAGACTGCCAAATAGGTTATCCCCAAGTTGCTGGCTTTCAGTCCACAGCACATCTACAGCTACACATGTGTACTCTGCATTTCTACTAGGATCTCTCAAGTCTCAGATTCCTTTAAATCTCTATAAATTAGAGGTGTCAAAACCATCTACCCAATGGAAACTGCAGACTGTGCTCTGCCATTATGAGCAATTATTGTCTAAGCAAGGAGGTGCTCCCCAAAGGAATAATTGTCTTTTCTGATTTCCAGAACCATAAGATGGAGAGAACAGAGCCTTGGAGAGGTCAGGGGTTTGGCAGTGGTTTATGGCCTCGGGATTTCCCCAGCGGAAGCCCTCAGTAGTCACAGGGCCAGTTGTTTTGTAGCACAGGTGCTTGGTAATGATACAAAGGACAGCTGCTGGGTGGGAGGCCATCCTGGTCCCTAAGAGCTGGTGTTCTACATCTAGTGATGGGAGATGCTGCTCAGCCAACAAACCTTGCATGTGGCTGGAAATGGTGGGGGTAATGGTAGGTACCTCTCTGCAGATAGTAGGGGCCCATTTTAACTCTAAAGTGTAATCAAAAGAATTCGGAGCTCAATGCTCTGAGTGTAAAAGTTCTCAGATGACTGTCCATCTGCTGTGAGATACAGAGAAGTGCTGCAAATGGATTTTATGTTCCTTGGTAGGTCCCTGTCCCCATTACATCTTCCAAGTTAGATTGATATGTGCATTATGAACCCAGACTCAGAGCCCAGCTCCCAGAAGAGAAAATTCTTACCAAAGTAGCAGGCAATGAGAACTAAGCTGTACTAATGAGTGAATGCTTAGGGGGAAAATCTGACATTCATGAGAAGTGAAAATGAAGCAGTTTGCACCTCCAAGGGGAGCCTTAACTGTGTGCTAGAGAGCTCAGCGTGGCCACATGGGCTGCACAGGTTTGCAGAGCCGAGAACTGGTCCAGGCCAGGCATCCCATAGTGATTGAAGAGACAGCATCCCTGGAGGCCCTCCTGCTCCAAAAGCATTGTCATTTTAGGGGATGGATCCAGGCGCTTTAGCGTATCACAGTCACAATCAGGCGGGGTCATTAGATAAAACAGGAAGCTTTGACATTGTCATCTTTATGCCAAGAAGTTTCAACAGCTACTTTCTTTGATGCCTGTTCTTGATAATTATTGACTTCACGTGATTATTTTCCCTTTGAGAAAATTTCTGAGCTTTTAGTGAGGCTTGATATAAGCTAAAGGATATGATTATCATGCAGATAGCACTTTTTCCCCCAAAATGAAAGACTTAATTTTTTCCTCTTGTCAAGAAATTCAAACAATAGAAAGTCAAATCCCCCAAAATCCAAGAGGGAAAATGAATGCAAAGGTTAAAAAAAAAATCACTATTAATAGTTTGGTATGAGTGTATCTCTCGGCCTTTAATGCATACACAAAGCTATATTTTAGCTGGAATATAACTGTAAAGTAATACTGTCCTGTAACCACCTTGTGTCTCCTCTTAGCAGGTTGTAAGTCTACTTGGTTGTCAACAGATTTTGATCTACCTTTTCAAGGACTTCTCTGCAGTCCCTTGTATGGATGTGATTTAATTAATCAGGCTGCTACTGAGAGGGGCTTTTAGGTTGTTTCCAATTTTTGGTTGTTACAAAGAATGCTGGCAACTGTTTTTGCCCATAAGTCTTTCTGCACTTGTGCAATAATTTCCGAAGGATGAATTCTTGGATTGGACTTGCTGGGCCAGAGAACAGACGCTGTCTTTAGTTTCTTAATTTTGACAAAATACCATGCACGAATTTACCAACTTGCTCTGTTTTCAACAGTGTGATAGAGTGTTCTTTCCCTCAATTATCACCAACTCTGGACAGTACCAGTATTTGCTTATCTGATGGTGAAAAGGAGCTCACGTTTTACTTTGCATTTGTTTAATCAATAGTGATTTGGAGTTTGCTGTCATATGCTTATTGACCACATGTATTTTGTGTCTGTGAATTCAACAGTTTCTAATGAAATATTTATCTTTTTCTTACTGAATTGTTAGAGCTTTTTAATATATTAAGCATATTGGCTCTTTGTCATATATTTTGCTCACAATTCACTCTTTTTGGTAACAGCAGAAAATATCAAACAGGTTTACTTACCTAAATTCTGTAATCCCCTTAACCCACAAAAAAAACCCCGCAGTATTTTTGGTTATTGAGATTGTATAAGTTTTGTAGGGATACCATAAAAAAGTATCGCAAACTGAGTGGCTTACAACAAGAGAGATGTGTTCTCTCACGATTCTGGAGACTAGAAGTCTGAAACCAAGGTGTTGGTAGGGCCATGCTCCCTTGGAAGCTTCTAGGGAGGATCCTTCCTTTCCTATTCAAGCTTCTGGTAGCCCGAGGAGTTCCTTGGCTTGTAGACACATCATTATAATCTCTTCCTCCACCACAGGGCATTCTTCCTTCTCTTAAGTATTCCATTCATAATGTATTAGAGTCCACTTCATCTAAACTTGATTATACATGCAGAACCTGTTTTCACTCACAGATGCCAGGGGTTAAAGACTTCAGCATATCTTTTTGGGGACACAGTTCAACCCACAACAGCCCCCATGATGATGCATCTGCAATCACCAGCAAATTACAAACTCTTTAAGGACTGGGACTGGATCAGTCTTGTTCCATATTCTAATCCCCACTACATAGCACAGTTTCTAGTAGGTAGTGGGCACTCCATAAAGATTTCTTTAAAGGAAGAATTTGAGTTTTAGGACTATCTGACCTTTTGGACATTAGAAAATGTGTGTGGAGAACACAAGATATCAGATTCTTTCTCTTCTTTAAATTTCATTTAACAATTTGCGACGAAAATACAAATACAAGTTGGGGAAGGACTGGACTGCCCAGAAGAGGGAGGGGCCCAGTTCTCTGGGTGGTACTTAAGCAGAGGTGTGTGCTTTTATTCCGTAGTATCTATCCTGAAATGAGTCTTTGAGAAAATGCAGACAAGCACCAGACTAGAACCAGATTTCGTGACCAGAACTGTTAGATTGGATTAACCAGAAAATAACACTGCAGGAGCTTTAAAAATCAAAATTTCTTTTATTTTTTTCTTTACATGGTAAAATATAATTTACAGTTTATTTCATAGGGCAAAGAGAACCTCACTTACCAAATGCCAGAATTTACTCCAGAAACTATTTTTCAGACTTATTTCAAAAAGATAATTGATTTCCATTTGTACAGCCTCCAAATTCTACTACAGAATTGCTACATCTAACCTTTGAAAAAAATTCATCTCCTATAAATGATATATTTAATAAAGTTATTTTTTTTATCAAGAATTTGCTCAAGGAGCTGATATATTTTATGATACTATCTCCACTTCCCCCTACTCTCACTGAAGCCAGTCAATGCAGTCATGTGGGACTGGGTCTAGAGAATCTGCTTTGCCTTACTTTGATGGCCATAGTTCCAGTCCCAAAGCAATGGGTCAGCGTTTTAGGACCTAACGTACAGCCATAGAGATGAGGTATTTCAATTTGAACAGAAGCAACATTTTGATCTGGCATGTTACCTGCACTCACACAGTTGTGGTCTAAATGTAAGCTGAGTACCAAAGCCATTGTTCAGATACACCCAGTGCCAGCTCCCTGGGCTTGTGAACTGTGCAGTGACTCATGCTCAGAAAGTTTTGTACTCCACTGTTGCCATCTTGAATCTCTTAATCACTTGTGAACCACAGCCCTGGCATTTTCATTCTGTGCTGGGCTCTGCAAATGATGTAGCCAGTCCTAGATTCACATAAAAGCTGCTTTGACTTGAATAACCTGACTTGTGATCTCTGTTTCATTTGGCATTGATGATGGGGTGTGGGTAGTTCCCAACTTCTCCTTCCAATAGCAAGATGTCCTGAGTTCTAGGACAATTTCAAAGGTATACAAGTTGTGGGTCATGTGATTCACTGGAGACCATGAAGGAAGCACACAAAGGTGGTTTCTGTTTATGTACAAGTCTATAGAATTAAAATTATACCTTCATTGCAATATGGAAGAATCAAGCCCAGTGTTATATATGTGTACAAATATATATATAATCAGCATAATGAAAGAACTTGTTCATTTGAAGAGCAAATTTGTACACCCGTGCACTGATAAGCTAAATATGATACATTCTTCTGCAATTCTTCTATTATTAACACAATTATTTCAGCAATTCAGACAAAAAGTGAAATCTGTACAAGGTCTGAGCTCGACTGTGCTTTATAAGAATAATGAAACATCCTCTTCTGAATTAGAAAGTACCATTCTTCCTGTTCTTCAAAAGAATGGTGGGGAATTGGTCCAAAAAAATGCTATAAAATGTCTCCTCTCCATTAACATAGAGGAATAAACATTTCATTACAGGCATGGACCTCTGTATAGGGGTCAGAGCATGATTTTAAAAGGACAAGTTGTCAAGGAAGAGAAACTCTTTCTCAATACATTAGGAGCCGGGGAAAGGCTCAGTGGGCAAGGAAGCAGTGTTCCCTACAGTTTCAAAGGCCATCGGGGCTTCCAAACTCTTGCTGCATATTAGAATCACCTGGAAGACTTGGACAAACAGTGCGATCTAGGTCTCATCCCAGACTAATTCATTATAACCTGAGTGAGGTTGGGCACTCAGGCAGGGTACTTTTTAAAGTATCCTGGTGATTCTGATTTGCAGCCAGACATAAGAACCACTGGGCTTTTGTGTACTCAAAAAGAAAGGTCTGGGCTACACCAAACAGGTGTCTCTTTAGAAAATTTAAAAATTAAATATATATTTATACCTGATTATACTTAAACAGACACCATGCACACAGTTATTTCTATGTAAAGTATTAACCATTGGTAATTTAAAAATATTCTATAAATAATTTAATGATCTTTCTCTGTTAAGCAACACTTCCAATAAATAATAAAATACTTAAGAGGTGAAAAGAGTTTTTAAAGAAGACATTTTGGTTATTTTTAGGAAATCTGAAGAATGCATTGAAGTGTAAAGTCTTTTCAACTGCAAGATGGAAGAGGGCAAGTAGTGTTCTTCCTAACCGGGAGGACGTTTTAGATGTCAGATAGCTACTTCCATTAAAAAGAAAGGAAAAACCGCTCAGACCAACATCGAAAATTAAGGCATTTGGAAACGCATCCATATTTTCTAGAGTGTCTCCTTTAAAAATAAACTTTAAAAAAAAAAGCCAAAAACCTCACCAAATGTCTTTACAAATAAGTACCTAAAATTGCAGTAACTCTGGAGGAGAAATCCTTTTTCAACTAATTTTTGAGTTCTAGGGTAAAAGGTGTTCTTGAATATTTTAGAACTGTGTGTCAGGAGTTGTGGGAAGGTGGCAACTGAGGAAGAAGAGAAGCAGGGAAAAGGCGAGGGGGATGTGTGTGGGCGACTATAAAGGCCTCAAATGACTCCCTTTAGTCACTTCCTGTTTCTCTGCTAGAGACTTGATGGTTCACTCTGTGGGCAGAGTTGAGACAAATGTTACTGTTCATAACTTGGAACCAAGCCAGCAGAGAAGGGCCAGGGCACAAAGGTTACGACTTTCCATTTGTGTTTGTGAGTCTCAGTGGTAACAGAATCTAATGACACAAAGGACACTGAAAAGACCAGCTCGATTTCCTCACTTTTAGCACATCACTAACATCTGCAGACCTGGAGGGGATGTCTGGAAGCAGCATTTAAGGAATGAGACAGAAGTTACAACGATCACATTTTTTCTGTAAAGAGTTTGAGAAACACGAGGGTAACCAAAATTGGGAGGAAACCCAGATGAAAATAGATGTTATTTTTCATTCAGTTATTCTCAAGAATTTCCAGAAGCACTCAATAATCTGATAGTCAAAACATCAGTCACGATGAGGACGTAATTAGGCTGCTGAAACTCAGAATGTTCTCCATACTCACCGAGACAAATGAGAAAAAACAAACCAGCAAAAAAGCCTGAAAGTGAACATTACTTCAGATGCGCCAAGATTTTTCTTCATGAAGAGTTCAGCTAGGAAATAGCTATACTTCTCATGTGCCAGCTTTCATAATGTCCTATGACTTTTTTTTTTCTATGACATTTTAAATCACTTTCGATGACTGTCATGCTGATTTAAAGCCTTAGAACACTAACTTGTTTCTAATTCCAGCCCGAAGTATTAGGCGGAATGTTTCTCTCCTTGTTTGATGCCGAGAACAAGATGCAGGAACCAGTTAAACTGCACAGTCCATCCTTTGTCTCTGCAAACTTCAATCTGATCCAGAAAATACTTCTTAGCGTCCTCCTCACTTTTCCCCACTGTGAGGGCATCCCGAATGTAGTCAATGTCTTCTTTGCTGGTTAGCTGGGGCATCCCGGTCATCAGCATCATGGAGAACAGGATGATCAGCAGGTTTGTGTGATGACGAAGGGCTAGGTAAGCCTTAACGCAGACGTCCTGGGTAAAGGAAAAGGAGCCGGTATTAACTGTTGTGGTGATTAAAGAGGCTAAAGACCAGTGAGCTTCTGAAATTTACATGGCATTATCCTGTCCCACAGAGGAAGTCATCACAAGCAAGGCAGGTCCCCTGCCTCAAATAAAAAACTTGAGAACATAAACGGCTTTTATCATCTCTTAAGCACTTCAGTGTGGTTGTATACATCCAGCGTGTGCACAAGGAAAACTAACTGATACAGTAAACTTCATCTTATTCTTTACTCTACCTTTTTACTTCGATTTCTTGCCTGGGAAATTGAGAGTGGAAATTTCTGTAGTCTCTAAAGAGGAAGGAGTCTGTTTTAAAACACCTTACTGGAATCAGTACACTTTTTGTCAGTGTAAATAATGTTTGCCAAGAGCTAATGGAATCCAAAGAAGAGAAAGAAAGGCAGCATTTGAGATTTAGCTAGTTTTCATCTTTAGCATTTGTCCTATTCTAAGAAAACGGATGAATCAGTTTTTTCATTGTCTGATGCTCAGAACTGTTGAATGAGCTTTGAAATTTTTTTAGAAGAATAATATAATTAGTTTTATTTCAATTTATATTTAGACCACAGGTCTTGACATTTGTTGCGGGAACACGTGGCAGCAGTGACATGTGGATTGGGAGAATTACCAGAGACGGAGAAAAGTTTAGGAAAGTTTAACAGGTACGCTGCTATAGGGAACAGTGGGCCACATAGATAAGAGGTGCCTTCCTGAGTTGACCTATGAAATTTTAATATAAATTCTGAATACTGAGTGAGAGAGAGCTTGAAACCGAGTAGGACTCTGTGGGGCCTTTAAGGGTCAGACACCTCCCCCATATCCTCTGCTGTAGCTCCCTCTGAAGCACCCAGATAATAGTATCTCATGTATATTTCCTGAGTTTCTCAGATGCTTAAAACCACCACCAAAGGGGAGAAACTAACTACTTGATGATGGAGATCGTGTAGCCCCCAGACCTTCTGGTGCCTAGGGGTTGATAGTGTTGATTGCCCTGTTCCCTCGGCATCAACCGGAGAATTGTGTACGAGCTGATCATGTACCCTGCTTCCTCCTTCCCTCACCTGGCCTTTATATAGGCTTTGCTGAAACCCTTTGAGGAGTTTGGGGTTTTCTTGGGCATGAGCCTCCTTATGCTCTTTGCTCGGCCCTACAATAAACCTTTCTCACTCCAAACTCCGACCTTTCGGTTTGTTTGGCCTTATGGTGTGGCGGGCACACGAACTTGCCATCGGTAACAGGCTTTATGCTATGCTATGGCCGGTGCCTCCTCTAAAAGCGTAGGTGATATAGGTGAGTTAAATCCACTTCATAAGCAAAAGGCATGCTCATGCCAATTAAATTGTTCCTGCATGGAGAAAAAGCTGCAAGGTTCCCAGTTTTACGACATGAGAATAGTCCAACTTTAATATTACAATTTCGCAAAGGTGGCGTGTTAAAGAAAACTGAAATTAATGATTACAGGTTTAAATATTTCAAATAAAATACTGAATGAAATGTTAAAAGAATAACACCCTTGCCAATGAGGGTTTATTACAAAATTGCAAGAGTAGTTCCTCCTAAGGTACTGGATTAAAATCTACTTTTGATTTTACTAAAAGTAACATGTAACTTAATATGTGACTAAAATGTAATGGTGTGAGGGATCACCTGAAATTACCACTCAAAATCATTCTGAATAGTGAATACTGGAAAAAGAAATTGGATAAAGTCAGAAAAGTGAAGGTAAAATCATTAGTATTTACAAATAACTGTCTTCTTGGAACACTGAAGAGGGGAAAAAGCTAAAATGCTATTGTAACTAGTTTTTACTGAACTAGCTTTTTATAAGTTAATAAATATAATGCTATACATAGGGGCCACTAGTTAGAAAGTAAAATGAAAACACAGATGCTGTGAATAATGGTAACAAAAAAAACCATGATTCCTGAATGGCCATCATTCAAAAGTCCACAAATGACAAATGCTGGAGAGGCTGTGGAGAAAAGGGAACCCTCCTACACTGCTGGTGGGAATGCAGTTTGGTGCAGCCACTGTGGAAAACAGTATGGAGATTTCTCAAAAGACTAGGAATAGACTTACCATATGACCCAGGAATCCTGCTCCTGGGCATATATCCAGAAGGAACCCTACTTTAGGATGACATCTGCACCCCAATGTTCATAGCAGCACTATTTACAATAGCCAAGACATGGAAACAGCCTAAATGTCCATCAACAGGTGACTGGATAAAGAAGTGGTATATTTATACAATGGAATACTACTCAGCCATAAAAAAGACAACATAACGCCATTTGCAGCAACATGGATGTCCCTGGAGAATGTCATTCTACGTGAAGTAAGCCAGAAAGAGAAAGAAAAACACCATATGAGATCACTCATATGTGGAATCTGAAAAAAAAAAGAACATAAGTAGAAAACAGAAACAGACTCATAGACATAGAATACAAACTTGTGGTTGCCAAGGGGGAAGAGGGTGGGAAGGGATAGACTGGGAGTTCAAAATTTGTGATACTGACAGGCATATGTAGAATAGATAAACAAGATTATACTGTATAGCACAGGGAAATATATACAAGATCTTGTGGTAGCTCACAGCGAAAAATGTGACAATGAAAATATGTATGTTTATGTATAACTGAAAAATTGTGCTCTACACTGGAATTTGACACAACATTGTAAAATGACTAACTCAATAAAAAATGTTAAAAACAAACAAACAAACCCCCCCCATGATCCTTAGATAAACACCTACACAAAAGAGGTAGAACCTGTTTTTTTAAAACCATAAAAATCTACTGAATTACGTAAAGAAATCTTGAACACATAGAGTGACATAGCATGTTCCTCACTGATAAGACTGCTTATTATGAAGAAAATTTTTTCTCAGGTTAATCTATAAATATAATGAAATTTGAATAAAAATTCCGACTGGATGTTTAAACTCATATGGTTTTAAGTTCAGCTGGGATAATTAGGGCCTGGGAGAACGTTTTGAAAAAATATAGTAACAAAAAACAGCAATGCCTGCCATCCTAAATATCAAAATACATTATAAAACTACAATATTTAAAACTGTGAAATAGCATCTATTCTTTTCCAAGAAATATAAGAAATTTGGTGAAACAGAATAGAAAGTTCAGAAACATATTTAAGTATACATTAAATACATAATAAAGGTGACTCCTCAGATCTGTTGGGAAAGATCTATTATTTGATATATGGGACTAGTACAGTTGGCTCATAATTTGGGGGGAAAATAAAGCTTACTCCATGTGATATCCCAGAATAGATTCCAGATGAATTAAACATTTAAATGTAAAAAGAGAAACTAAAGAATCGTGAAATGAGAAAGGAAGGACTTTATGAAGCAGACCTCCAAGGTGGACTCTATAAGGAAAAGATGAAGAGCTTACAAAAACTTCAAATTTTGGAGGAAGAAAGCTATAAACAATGTTAAAAGAGGCAAATGCCAAGAGAAAACATATTTGCAACATGACAGATCACTTCTTCACCCCTAGACCCCTGTTAGCTCTTACAAATCAACAAGAAAGAGATGAATAGTTGGCTATAAAAACAGGCCAAGGATAGAGTATATCACACTATAAGACATAAAACCATAAATAATACGCATATGAAAAAATATGCAACCTCATTAGCAATCAGATAAAGGTAACTTAAAATGAGATGGAAAAAATGCTCAATATCACTAATTGTCAGAGAAATGTGAATCAAAACTACAATGAGGTATCACTTCACACCAGTTGGAATGGCCTTCATTCAAAAGACCATGAACGATAAATGCTAGAGAGAGTGTGGAGAAAAGAGAACCCTCCTGCATTGCTGGTAGGAATGCAATTTGGTTCAGGCATTATGGAAAACAGTATGGAGATTCCTCAAAAAACCAAAAATAGACCTATCATATATCATATGATCCAGCAATCCCACTTCTGGTATATCTGGAGGGAACTCTCATTGGAAAAGGTACATGCACCCCAATGTTCATAGCAACACTATTTACAATAGCCAAGACATGGAACCAACCTACATGTCCATTGACAGATGACTGGATAAAGAAGTTGTGGTATATTTATACAATGGAATACTACTCAACCATAAAAACAATAAAATAATGCCATTTGCAGCAACATGGATGGGACCTAGAGATCGTCATTCTAAGTGAAGCCAGAAAGAGAAGTAAAAATACCATATGATATCACTCATACGTGGTATCTAAAAAAAA